TGCTCTTTTATACTTACGGCAAGCGGAGCCCAGCAGGTAGCCTTGAGCGCGCAACTTTAAAAGGCTGTATCTCTGAAACTATTACTCGGATCAAGTTGAAATTTTCGGATAATATTCTAGAGATGTTGTAGATTTTAATAAGCAACAAAAAAAAGCGATTTTTTGAATCCGTGAAACCCATGTAACCCCTTAATGTATTCCACAAACACGAAACGTTGCTTTGCAATTACACCAAAATGCGACACTGTGTAACGCAGTGTGGTATCCAGTCAGTGATCCCAGAGACTTTAGTTCGTTTGATCGACACAGGGGCGCAAAATTATCGTACGCGGCAAGAAAATTATCGTACGCCCCGGGAAAATTTGAAATCCGGCAATTTCTTGGACGAGATTTTCAAAATTTGGAAAAAGTGTCCAAGTTCCAACTTTTTCAAAGTTGATGACCTTTTTTTTTTTGATCGTACAGGCTCAATTTAGGATCGTACAAGGCCTCAAATTATCGTACGCGTACAATGATTATCGTACGAATGGAATCACTGAATATCTATCCAATTGCACGTCTTTGCTAAGATCAAATTTTTAAGCATATCTTAAGATTGCGTTTATGAATGTAAAAAAATTTTTTTCCGCCTTTTTTAACTGTTTCTGTATTTTTTTTACTTGCTCGCGGAATAGTGTACCCATTCTCTTCTGAACATGTCTGATACATTACAAAAGATTTGGTACTGAACAGAACTGTACTGTTCGTGGCCTTACAAATTCAGGTATATCTCTGAAAATATTTATCGGATTGACTTCAAATTTTCAGAGAATATACTTAAATATATGTACATTCCAAAAATGCAAAAAAATATTGATTTTTCGAAAATTCTAACTAGGTATAACCCCATAACCGAGACCATTTGAAAGGCCTGATGACGCACGAAAGTTTCGTCGTACCGATACTTTTCGAATAATTTCTTGATTTGTTTACCAGTTTTATGGTCTTCGAAAATGATCTAAGATGTCTGCATGTTTGAATAGAAATTTTAAAGTTCGAAGATGTGCTGGAAAATATACTATACGGTTCATGCCTTACGTTACGTTACTACTTAAGGGAGGGGTAAGGGTTTCAGCGTAAAAAAAAACACTTTTTTTCCGATTTTTTTTCTCAAATATGGATTGAGCAATTTTATTCAAACCTTCTATACATTATTGAGCATAGTTTTGACAATGCTCTGTAAATTTTTCATGCAGAAATATTGAAGCATTAGCCCGTAGCAGAGCTTCCCCCAGAGCGTCTTGAAAAAAAAACAATTTGCGGTGTTCACTGTAACTCGGCCGGAAATTATCTGAAAATGAGAAACCATAAAAATTTAGTCAAATTATAATCAAATCTTCCCCCCTACGTTCTCTGATTATTTTTTTTTTAATTTAAAAATTTTTGGCGGCCATCTAAAGTGTGAACCGTTATTTTCCACGAAAATTTTCGCTATTTTGTGGGTGGGAAACACCTTTAATGTAAAAGAAAAAAAATTTTTCTAAACGTAGTGAGGAGGTATTTTATATGTAGAAAATGTGTACAAAATTTGAAATGAATCGGTCGAGTAGTTTTTAAATGGCAGTGAACATGGACTTTGAAAAAGTAGTTTTGAGAAAAATACGTTCAAAGTTTATGAACTAAAAAAGTGAAGAAAAAATTTTTTTTTTCCAACTTACACAGAATCATCGATTCCAGCTCCATACTGCAAACTTCCTGCGACATTGTCGATGTCTTCAGCCTCTTTTCAACGTCTTCTGGTACACTTGCACTGGTATTTAGCTTGATTTTCTTCAATGAAGCACTTTTTGTAGTAACCTCATCTTTAATTATTTTATTCGGATTAAACCTTTTTCTTGATCTACACAAATAAATCCTTCCACTTTGTCGGTCTTCTCTCGACACTTTGCTTACTTTCGGCATTTGCTTAGAGAAATTTTTTTGAGAAAATTCTAAAATGACAAGCGCACGGTCAAACGTACAACGACAAACTGACGCTCGTTTCTTGCTTTAAAATATTGTAGTGTATAGTATACATACAAATATAAAATATATCTTTATGGCTTTAGTTACCTTCCTTTACTAAATAAAATATTTCTAAAACTAGATAATGGGTTAGGACAATAGCAATGAATAAACTGTTCGACAGCTGCACTGCTATTCCGAACGACCGTAGCTGTTAGAGTTAGAGCGTGAAAGGCNGGAAAAAATATAAGATACCTTTTTTGTAGAGCATTAAATTTCCTACAAAATTCGTCTAGAACATTTTTCTGTACAATCAATAAATAATGAGGTATAAATTTTAATCTATTGGACTGAAAAAAAAAAATAAAAAACTGCGATGCGGAGGATCATCCTATTAAAATTAAGAGCTCATATTGGGCGAGAATTCTTTTAAGGTGTCTAGGAACCCATTTTTGCGTGGCACTTGAAAAAAAAAAAWAWRTMWKTYWTTT